GTGTTCGATATTCGATTATCACGAACTTTTTGATTCATATAAAATCTCTTAATTACTATAAACGACAGTTAATTAAATTTGTTTGAAATATGCCAATTCTGTATCAAAACGTCGTTATTCATTCGAAATTCTATTAAGAAACTTCAGAGAAACGAATGTTCCTTGAATGACAACGGAACTCAGATCGCGTAGAAAATCTTTAGCAGACTCAATGCGAAGAAATCCTTAAATATTTCTGGAGGTAGTAGCACTACTGTTAGAACCGGTAGGTCCGATAGTCAAAATTGTCGACTCCCAAGTCAAATGAAACTCTTGGAATTAGTCACTCCTGTTCAAAAGATACTAGATGATCAAATACATATTTATTTTGAAGAATGGATGAAAATGGCGACCGATAACGTAAATTATTAATTTTCTATTCACTATTCTTTATTCAATTTTACATGCAAACTTAAGCTAAAATAAAGTCTTTTATTTTTTTTTTATTAGAAAATTAATGTTAAAATAGTTGGAATCTTGCATTAATCGATTATTTTCATGAGATGACATTGTTGAAAGAAGGCGATTCTTAAATTTCTAAAGGATTCATGTACATTGGATGGATTGTAAAGATTTACACTTCACGCGTTGAATCTTTAGCACAGAAACAGAAAATCCCTCAAGTGGATTGGCAAATAGCTCCAGTATTTATTATTTTTATTAATTGTATCTTTACTTTTTAATGAGATGGATACTCACATGGTATACATAATTCAAAGAATAACGATGAGAACGATGGAGACGATGATTATTATTACATGGATTTATTAGAAATTAAATAAATGTGTAATGTTTTATAGACTAAAATATCGGAACGACATTGGCTAAAGACAGTGCCTTGACCGTAAAGAAATTTGACTTAGGATTCTCGGTTGATCCTCTCTTTAAAAAAATTTCTGAAGGTGGCGCTCAAGGGTTTCTATTCAAGCGATGCCATACCTGATAAGATGATAATAACCAACCGAAAATTGACATTACCGTGGGTAAAATTATCGGATGTTCAAATATTTGATTACTTTATTTATTAAGTTAAAATAAATTTATTATCTCTTTTTAGCAATGTTTCTCTCCGAACTCAAACAAATATTCAACAAGGAGATTTGTCCTTCGTTGAAAGATTTAATTTTTTCAGGAGATAGCAACTTTGATTTTGATTATGCTTCGCATAATGATGATATGATAGTGAAGTTGTTGAAGTCAATAGAAATGAAGATGATGAAAGAGTTGATAGAGATTATGATGATGAAGAAAGAAGTTGGTATTCATTGTGACGTTTTCGATGAAGACGACATGAATCCACATGCGCGTTTGACCACGTATTGCTATGGTCAGTAATGAAAACGAATTGTTTTCTTATTTTGACTCTGCGTTCTTACATAATTGGGCGGGTCCTGAACATTGGAAGTTAAAAATAAGTAATAAAAGTAATTAAATATCTCTATTGTTTTCGTTTTTTGTAATTACAAATTTTTTATATCTAGTTTTAATTATTTTTATTCCTTAAATAGATAAAGGAACTACATAAATTGAAGGAGAAACAAGGGAAAGAAAGAAAAAAGAATCGGATTCTATTAAGTTTATTGAATCAGAGGATATGGTTGAGCGAATTATCTTTGCATATGGAGAAGTACGATCAATGCATCCATGTTAGCTGAAAAGGTTCCACATGGTCACCTACTTCCCGACGATATGCATTTTTCGTCTAAGCAATTACTTCATCTTTTCTTAAAACTTCAATTTATGGTAATTATTTAGCTTTTAAATTTTCATTTATTACTTGAGTTTAATATTTTAGAAATAATATACACGTTTGATTGTATTGTATTTTTTTCTTAGCTTAACTCGAAACGCCAATATGAAGCACAGCCCGAGTCCGATGATGGTAGGTACATTCAAGTCGTTTTTATAAAAAATTATGTCAGAATTAATAAGAATTATTATTTACTCAGCAGCTTTATCGGACATGAGTAAGTCCTAATCATAAATAAAATTTTAATAAGAATGATAAATTGATATTTAGCTACCTACACTACTGGAGAGGGTTTTACAACGATTATGATTATGAGGACGAATTAGAGGGCGAATTTGGTAATTCAGACGAAGAGAAATAAACCAGAGTTTATCAAAATGCGCTAAAGGCAGCAAAAAGGTCAATGTTAAGAAATTGAAGGAAAATATATGGAAAACAATACGACATTTTCAGAAGTTATTTGTGATCTAAAGAAAATATATCCTCAAAGAAAAATGAAAGATATTTCGGTACCGCTATGTTTTGTTAGTTTATTGCATTTAGCAAACGAGAAAGGTCTGGAAATTTCAAAAAATGATCCATTAACAGACTTACATATTATATTGTTAAATTTTTTATTAATTTCATTGGTCGTTTAAAAACCATTTTTATGATTCAATAAAAATATTGGAAAAATTTAATTTTCGCGTAAAAATTTATTTATGTATGAAATATACAAATATACTGCTTTAAAATGTCAATAATCTTTATTAATATGTAAGAAAAGAGACCGGTCGACTAAATAAAATGATATAATAAAATGAATGGTAACGGGACGTTTAATGAAAACGAAAAATTGTGAAATATCATATTCTGCCGACCCCATATACGACCTCATAAAGTTTAGTTTGTTGGTCAAAGGCCAATTACTGATCGACGATCTAACTTTCCCCATATAGAATTACTGATCGACTATCTTTAGGCCATTTCAAAGTTGTTCGATCGGCATTTTGATCGTCAAATCCAGTAACCAATCAAAATTTATGATCGAAAT